AATTCAATTTTCTTCAAAAAAAAATAACAGCCCTTTATTATTTCGTTCATCTCACCGTGATACACTATATGAATTATATTAAGCAACATGAAATAATTAAATTTTAATATAAATGTCTAATTGTTTTGGCAATTATAAGATAAGAAAACTATTTCTGGGCCTTCATACGGACTTAATTGTAACTTGAGTAAGAAATTCTACTAAATCTCGGTATATACCTTTTTACACCCCTCTTTGAAAGTTCTCACCAATGCTTTAAACATTAAGCCCGCTTTCATATTGCTCGTGGATAGTGTTTTCAGGAGTATGATTTTGATATTGTTACGATAATTTTGCAGCATTACATTTACTACTTTAACCAAAACTCAATAAGGGTTGTAAAGTGGTATGAAATAATATAAATTGTTTAAAAAATAACGCTCTTTAAGATCGTTTTGGTTAAGAAAACACTCTTCAACTTTTAAGTGAACTAGTCATATCTCAATTAAGGGTAGATGTTAAATGTGTGGTGATTAGTGACCGTTAGTCGATGATTATTCGGAAATGGTGAGATGCGGTCGGGTGTGATTTAGGTTTCAGAAAAGCATTTCCTTTATCGGGCCAACGTTTCGATCTATATTGAGATCATCTTCACGGTCTATTATTTCTTCGAGATGTTTATCAATATTAGGACAGTCTTGGAAAAATTTATTAGTTTGTTGTGTACCTGGACTCGTCGGGCTAGGAAGTAACAAACCTCAGATGGAACGTTTAACACTCCAAACCGTTCAACCGAGATCCAATCAGCTATGCTAAACGAGAGTCGAAGAATCTAAAACTGCAGAAGAAGGATCATCCTAACCTGACTCAGAATTGGCTATTGACACGAATACTAATTTTGGGCCAAACTCCGCTTACGTGCATGGTTTCTAATAAAGGCTGTTCAATGTGTTCCATTTAATTAGAGTGTCACTCCTTGGCTCTTTAGAGAGCGATTAGGAATGCCGCAGACTAAAGATTTGTGCACGAGCGCACATTTGGGTCCCATCGTCCCATTCTGGAGCAAACAAGGGTAATTCTGTTATACAGATCTTTTGTTTGCTGCAGGTAATCCTATTAATATATGTGCGATCAATTTGGTGATAAAGTTTTAATGTTACATGAGAATGTAATTATATGCGTGAATGTGTGTTCAGTACAAGAGAGTTGATTTTCAAGTAAATCATCGACCCTCAATGGTAGTACAATGTGGTTAAGGCTCGTGTCCTCATCCCGGTTCCTTCATTATATCCTGTGACCCCCTCCCAAACCTTGGTTACAACGGGGGGGGGGGTGTGCGGGAGCAAAATAAAGGTGTAGCCCAGAGGGCGTGACAACCTCTCTAAACCACAAGTTGTACTCGTGTCGGCCTCGGGTCGACATGGGCGGCGGGTGCCTTATCAGAGGTACACAAGGGTTAGAGTACCAGATTTTGTCTGCATAGACGGGGGAGGGTGCATAACCATCTGTACTATGGGATAACAGAAATGTTTCAAAATTCAGCCCCTGTTACACTGGGAATGGATTCGTAGTGGTACGTGGTGAGGCTTTTGAGTCTGAGCTCGATTGGAGGCTTTTACAGTAGGCGGTACTCCTCTAGGGGGTGGTTAGCAATTCCACTTTAAATAGAGCGGATCCGATAGTTCTTACGTTGGGGAAGTCTCAATACTCTGGGAGATAGAGTGGCTTTCTCTATCTAGGGAGTGCCCAGGAGACCGGGCTGATGTATTTCGGCTTAGGTAGCCCGTTGCGCACGGCATACGGTCTGATGATTAATGCAGATCCGACCACTCGGAATGGGCAAGCGGGCAGCGAGGTTGTAGTGGTCCCTCGGGGCTGAGCTGCCTCTACACCAATGCTGCGGGAGTAACACCATTCTGTCGCATGTAGAGGTGCGTCAGCTCTCATCTTGAGAATCACATCGTCCGATAAGGCCGAATAGGGTAGGTGCGGACGTTAAAGATCCTCATTGTCCTTTTTAGGACGACCGAGTATACTGGAAGGACGACCCTCTATCAGACAATACCTAGTAACAAGCATAAGCCTATGTGCGTGATAAAGGCTGATGGAGAAATATCTAGATGTCATTGTGTGATGTACTGTTTTTACATAATTCTGGTCATAGTACCCTCCAGAGGTAGCTTTAGAAAAGCACACTATGTAAAATCAGTACATCATTGAAATTTAGATTACAGATGTTTTGTAACTTCAAGTGCTGTAAAATTTCGTTAATAGGAATATCTAAAAAATTATATGGATTAATGTCTAAATAAGACAAGATAAGTTTCCAAAAATTTGAAGAAATATCAAAACATTCTTCTGCTATTAATTTTACCATTAATTTTCTATATAGGTGTTAACGTTGTTAAAACTGATTTTTTTTCACGGTGGAAAAGAAGCCAAATTCTTTTTACTTTAGGCAGGTTAGCGAGTCAAGAAGCTGGATTTCTTTTCGGTTCCAGCCCCATCCCTCGGGAGAGATTCGATCTGAACTTTTCACGTCTAGTCAGCCGACTTTACAAACCTAGTGCCAGTGTGCCACATGAAAGAGCTGATGCATTATTTATTTGCGGTTTTTGCCCGTCAAGATGAAAGCTTTGGGCCAGTCGATTCATCAAAAAAGCATCTAAATTCGCTAAATCCTGTACAGAAGAGTGTTCTATTCACAAACTAAAATATGCATAATCATGGAAAAACCAATTACATTTATTTTTTTTTACATAGAAAATATGTTTCCGAAAATCAGCCTAGGCTCAACTATTAACAAAAACCCCGTACAATTTAAACAGCCGGATGCTTTTGAAATCTAATTAACAAAATATAGAAAACACGCCCAGTTTTCAATCTTTATCAAAGAAATGAATTAAAAACGTCTTTGCTTTTGATGGCTGAGGATTATGCACGAATGTGTGCACATAACGGGTTGAAGCCTCCAGAGCAGGATCTTGCTGTAAATCAACGGAATATATCGTCGTCCTGACTACTTTACGAGTTCCTCTGACAAGAGCGTCGCCTGTTCTACTTTTTAATTTTAGAGACGAGGAAGTCAAGAAGACTATTTTTAGAAAAGCAAGTATGAGTTTCATTGTTGTTTGAAATTTTTTTAAGGAATTAATTGAACATCATAACGAAAATAAGTTTAAAAAATCCGTAATTCCATTCATGTTCAAAATCGAAACATATAAGTACATAATAAAAGATGAATATTTGCTAAATGATTAATTCACTATTTTCGTGGTCCGTTTGACCAATTAATACAAGCCAATTAATTAAGGATTTTAGTTGAGATGAAAAAAAGTTAATGGCATGGGAGGGATTCCAACCCACGACCTTCGTCTAGATACGCCGCTGCTCTACCACCTGGCAAAAGGAGGGAGTTTTCCCTCCTTTTGCCAGGTGGTAGAGCAGCGGCGTATCTAGCCGAAGGTCGTGGGTTCGAATCCCTCTCGTGCCATTAACTTTTTTTCATCTCAACTAAAAACCTTAATTAATTTGCTAAATGTTTAAAATTAAAAAAAACATTTGTTCTCAAAATTTCAAATGTTTAGAAAAGCAATAACCTTCATTGGGGCCAGCTGTGGGGTTTAGGGCGTATGAGTCGAATTTATTATGGTAGCGGTTCGAATCTCAGCAAAGCACTTGTAAATTTATGTGCGATAGATTTTGAAAGGAAGTATCGTTAAGTGGTTCTGTCCCTCATTTGCACAAACAGGTAGTTGGATGTTAAGATCTATTTTATGACACGAATTAATTTATCTTATTTTACTATAATATATTTTATTTCTTTTAAAGGAAAATTTAAAATAATTTCGATTTTTACAAATCGATGAAATGATCACGTTTTTTGCAGAAAATTGTTATTTTTCACAAAATATGTAACTCAATTTTTCTGGAGTGGTGTTTATTGGAACTAGCCGAAAGGGAAATGGTTGTACCTAGGAAAACTCTCATTTCGGTCATTTCTATAAAAATGAAGATAATGGACCAATGTGAAAATTTCTTAAAAATGATAGTTTCGAAATCCAAAATAAAAAATGAACGGTCGCATTTAAAAACTTACATGTTTTTTCATACAACCTACTTAATAGGGCATGTTGTATGTCAAAAAACATTGATTCAAAAAGTTATGTCTGGATTTATCATAATATGAATGTTAGGGGGAGACATCGTCCGTAGCAAAAGACGCATAATTGGTTATGCGAAATGAAACATTAAAAAATTTTCCCAATGTTTGACTCGGAAATCGATTAAGGTTACTATTTGTTTATTTAGATTTTGAAAAAAAAATTAAATATAAAAGTTTTTTTAAATAAATTAATTTTTTGATGGATTTATAATTTTAGACAAAAACATTTTTACATAATCATAGATTTTTCAATAAAAACTATACTGAAATAATGGAATGTATGTTTATAAACTGAAATTATGTTTTGAAAAAATTAAACTGTTAAATTTTTCTGAACAATGGGCTTTTGTGAAATGGCACAATTCCCATAGTGATGGCAGATGATAGTTGAATATTTGGATAATGAAAAAAATTAACAACGCATAAATAAAAATCAGAATATTACTCGAATTGCAGCAGATACTAAAGTTAAGATGTTAAAAGTTGGTGTCTGATATTATAAATTATTGGAATTGATTAAAAATAGAACTATTTAGTTGGTGAATATGTGAAAAACATGGTAAAACATTGATCGAAAATGGTGGTTTTTTACGTCATTTGTACGAAGAGCGATAAAAGAAAAAACTTAAACATGATCAACTTTGACACACCTTACACCTAAAACGGTAGCCCCATGATTGACTTATGCTAATCCGTTGTTACTTTATATCGGCAATTAATTTTTAAGAAGCCGGTAGAGAAAAAAAAGAAAAGTTTTGGAGGAAATAAGAGAGGATATGGAATACAAGGTGTTCATGCGGCCAAAATTCTTTATTTAGGGGTAGAAATAGGTTTTGTCGTAGCCGGCGTAACTTACCAAATGGCAATTCGAACCTACAGTCGACTAAAAGGGAATGGCCAGTCGCCTCTTTTGTACCCACCACTTCCCCATCCATCATCACGAGCTCGGCGTCCAAAGACACCCATTCACCCGGTCCTTCCTGAAAAAAAAATTGTAATTTATCATGTTTGAAGAATAAAATGAATGAATAAAATGAAGCAATGACTTTACAACTGGCGTGTTATACATAGAGTTAATTTGAACATTTTTCTTTCGTTTACAACGAATGATAATTCAAGAACGTAACAATATAATTTTATTTTCCTGTCTTTCTCGCATTTTTACAATATTTCTTATAAATTTTCTTCATGTTTCGCCAGCCAAGTTATCAGATTATATGATATAACGGTATACTCTATTTTGGTATCCTCTATTTTCGGTGAAACTTTCACATTTTAAATTCACTAGTTTCGTGGTCCGCTTGACCAATTAATATCTTACAATTAATTAAGGTTTTTAGTTAAGATAAAAAAGTCAGTGACACGAGCGGGATTCGAACCCGCGATCTTCGGCGGCTAGATACGCCGCTGCTCTACCACTTGAGCTATTGTGACCTCGATCCACTCGCACACTAACTTCCCATCTCAACCCCACCTTTTGAATTTTCCGTCCTTTTTGCCATTTTTCAACCAATACCCTTCATAAATATCAATTAATTGCAAAATGTTAATTGGTGAATCCGACAATACCGGCAAGGCAGGAAGAAGAAAAAAATATTCCTACTAGTTTTTCAAATGTCGTGTAATCTATTTGATTCTCGGCGACAAATGAAATGGCCACGAGAAGCTTTGACCCACTTGTGACCTGACTTTTTTATCTCAACTAAAAACCTTAATTAATTGAAAGATATTAACGTTAATGTTAAACATATTTCCAAGGCTTTATTCTGTATAGATTTTTGGATTTTTGAAGTCAAAATTGTGTTGGTGTTCAAAGTGGTGGGTAGCGAGTGCTGTAGGATTTTGCTTGGGTTTTTTGCAATCATAGATATGTTGCTTTACTCTCTTGTCCAGATATTGGGATGTAAGACCGATGTAAGTTGCCGGACAGTTTGAACAGTTGATCTTGTAGATTACGTCAGATTTATTTATTATTGGAGTGGGATCTTTAACTTTGGAAAAAAGTGTTTGGATTGTTTTATAATTTTTGAAAACTATACAAACTTAAGACTGGCCGCTTTTTGTCCGGAACATAACTTTTTCTTCACTGTTTCATTTCAGGGATCATATTACTGCTGCTCTACCACTTGAGCTATCGTGACTTCGTTCCGCTCGGAAACTAACTTCCCACCTCAACCTCACCTATGAATTTTCCCTCCTTTTTGCCATTTTTCAAATGTCGTGTAATCTATTTGATTCTCGGCGACAAATGAAATGTCCACGGAGAGCTTTAGTGAAGGTGAACTTTATTTTAACTTATCAAATGCACTAGTTTTCGTGGTCCGCTTGACCAATTAATATCTTTCAATTAATTAAGGTTTTTGGTTGAGATAAAGCGTATCTAGCCGAAACTACAAACTTTTACATTTTGTTTTTATTGGTGCAGGGCGGGTGCTGAGACTACAAAATGGGCAACGCCGGATTACAGAGCTAGTTGTGCATAAAATAACAGAACTAAGAAGCACGTATACAAAACATAAGTAGGGATATGACCATCCATGCGCGCTAGTAAATTACATTCCCACGCCAGATTTCTTTCACACACCACAGAGTACTGCAAATCCTCGGGATAATTTGAGAATAAACCACTTCATTCACGCAAATAAATACATTATTTCTGGTAGTATTCTAATAGTTTTTTCTATCAGTTCGATTAGTGATCTGAGATAACGGAATGACGTTTGGTGTGTGTATGAATGCTGAGACAGCGTGAATGGAGAAGCTTCTTGCCGAATTACCGCGATGAATATCGAACATTTTTTGGAGTATAGTGCGAGACTAATGTGCGAATGTAATTTATTATTTTGAATTGAGGAGCTACTTCCCCTGATGCTGATGCTTATAACAGTTTTAAAAATGGAGCGCGAGTGCGCATGAGTTGGCGTATTGCGTGGCGGCTCCGGCAGAGAAGGAACGCGTGGCGTCCAGATGGGTGGCCTTTTGCTTTTGCCTGCTTTGCCTTTTTCCCCAGGGACGACAGGAGATATACTTGTGGATCCAATAACATTTTTTTGGACAAAGGAGATTTTTTTCTGGCATATCGGATTGGGCAGCCGTCTTCGATTGACTTCGACATTTGTGGCATGTACCCCATCATTTGGACAAGTAATTTGAATTATGTTTCGTTAGTGATGGAATCGCACGTGCATATGCAAAAATAAAAAGATATGTAAACAGACGATTTCAATTGAACAGAACAGTTAACAAGAAGAAACTACAGATATATCAGCTTTCAGATCTCATTACAAAATCTCCAGGGTTTAAGGATTATTCAAAAGGAAGATAAATCGTGTTTATAAATGAAATTTTGTTTATACTAGTAACGAGGATTTAATTTCCTTTGCTATTGAGAATAATACGGTTAATAATACTTTGCATTTGTAGCTCCCAGACAGTGGAGTTACAATGTTTTCTGGCCTGTGCTATAAAAAATAAACTGGGTTGGCAAAGGTTGGTTTTATACTGGCTGGATGGAACATCGATCCGATAGCCGTCCTGCAAAAGGGAAGTGGGAGTGACCCATGTCTGATCCGAGAGCAACAAGTGTGCGGGGGTTGTATGCATTTAGCCCACTCACCCTGGACGGTTTACTATCCAGTCAATCCTTTCACCCTAATGTAACGACGTAATAACGATACGTATTATTTTATCATTTTAAAAATGTGTTTTTGAATTCCGCTCGTGACACAGAGATTTTTTATCTCGACCAATACCTTTCATAAATATTAATTAATTGAAAAAAGTTAATTGAAAATTGATGTACTATATTGTAGCCTCACATTGTAAAAACTTTCTTTCTCTCATCATATATTTATAGAGCCTTCCTCTTGTGTGATTTTTTAAATATGTTTTGGCTTTCTTTATGAAAATTCAGCTTGTTCGGTCAAAGGATTTGTTAAAGTAAAAATAAATGGGTTTTTTTGTGAACTTTTTCTCATTAAATCGACAACAATTAATATTTATGAAAAGTATTGGAAGAAATAAAAATGTCAGTGTCACCCCCCCTCCTTTTTGCCATTTGTCAAATGCCGTGTAATCTATTTGATTCTCGGCGACAAATGAAAAGGCCACGGAGAGTTTCATTATATACTTCAGTTTAATTATTAAATCCATTACAATTCGTGGTCCGATTGAATAATTAACATTTTTCAATTAATTAATATTTATGAAAGGTATTGGTCGATATTTAAAAAAAATCGAAAAATGGCAAAAAGGAGGGAAAATTCAAAAGGTGGGGTTGAGATGGGAAGTGAGTGTCCACGATAGCTCAAGTGGTAGAGCAGCGGCGTATTTAGCCGAAGATTGTGGGTTCGAATCCCGCTCGTGACACTGACTATTTTATCTCGACCAATACCTTCCATAAATATTAATTAAGTGAACAATTTTAATTGGTCAATCGGACCACGAATTGTAATGGATCGACAATAATGTTTTTCAGGAGCTATGGTACACAAATGGAGATATGCTCAAGAGGACGCACAGGGTCCCGCCACTTTCCTTCAAAATACTACAATACGTAAGCAAAATACTTATTGTTAGAAAATGTCATGTCAATTAACTGAAACAGCTTGTTTGGTACAGACTGTTGTTATAATTCTATCAGAAAGTGATAACAGGTAACTTTTATCAACTTTTATTTATACATAAGCTCACAATGAAATTAATAACAGCTAATGAGGTTTTTAAATTTTATGCACTTATTGTTAAAATTTATGTATTAATGAATCCCAACAAAAACGAAGCAAGACCACCCACCAATCCAGACCCTCTCCACAAATCATTAATCTATCACTGAAGTGATATCTAATCTACATTGTGGTCAACTTCACTTTTATGCACATAGCATTAAACTTTAAGGATTAAAACATAAGGACCATTTGTTCTGACACAGGAGAGGTGGGTTTGAAGAGAAGGTATCGAACTCAGAATAAAAGAAAAGTTTCTCATTTCTCATTCAGAATCGGCTCTCGGTATGATACGCGTTTCCCGCTCTTTCAAATTCCGATTTAGGGCGCTAACAGTCATTAGACGCAAAAACTGCGCTAACACTCTATAATCGCAAAAATTAGCGAATCGGTTATTGGTGCAAAACTATTGGTACAATATAGTCGCTAAAACTACAGAATTGGTTTCGCTGATATAAAGATAGGAAGAAACAAACTTCATCATTACAGGGAGCAGTGGTGTAGGTGGAAGAACGAATTGCAGGCATGTGCATACAATGGAAAGGCCTTCGATGTTGGTAATTTGAATTCCTTCCAGAGAAAATTGAACCTGCAAAATGTTTTACCACAGTTACCGTTACGTTCGGGATGAAAAAGACAAAGATTTGGATTTGGATTCATATAGGCTCAAATCCGCACATGTAAGTACATATACACAAAACCTATTGGCTTTTCGTTCACCGGCAATTTCCGCTTTACTACGCTATTTACGTAAATTGCCGACAAACTCGAGAAATGCCCATCCCATAGTCCGGGGGCAGACCTCAGTTTTATCCGTCCAGCAAAAGTGGGGATGTTGTCAATAGCTAGGTTAATTCAGCATCCAACGGATGCAGTTCCAAAACTATTCATACTCATATTCATTGGTAAATATATTCTCTCCTATTAACATACCGTTCACTCAATTAAGGTGGTGGAGTACTCGTTACCCATACCCTTTAAACATATTATACAACTAGCCTAATTGAGGGAGATGGGGTGCTGGATATTCCGCCATAGACCCTCTCGCATCACACATTCACGTTAATAAATACCTTCACCATCCACACAAACTAGGTATACACAATTATTAGTACTACGTACAATAGAACAACCCCGTTTCCTCCAAGAACGGGAACAGGGGACCCAAATGCTCGCTGCTGTGCTCAAGCCCAATTCTCAAATCCAATGGCATTCCTGCCCCCTCACTTTATGAAAGAATTGCACCTTTAATTAGG